AAGGAATCAAGAGTGACAATCAAGGTCTCTGGCTAGCCCTTGAAGGTCACTGATGCCATTAAATGGGACAGCCTGCGGGAGGGGCAGGTCTGGGGTAAAATCAGGAGTTTGGTTGGGGGCACGTTTAGCTGGAGGTGGTTATCAGACTTCCAAATGGATGGGTCTCATATGCTGTGTGTACACAAATAAACACCCACATCAGTGCACATCTTGAGTTCCGGGACAGGTGTTGGCTGCGAAGCCAATGAGAGCATCATCAGCAGAGAGAGCGTTTAAAGCGGTAAGACAGGATGAAATCAAAGAGGGAGTTAGAGCAGATAGAAGGGTCCTGACAATGGGCCTTGGTCACGTGGCTGCTGAGAAGTAGGGAAGGCGAGAACAGGAACGACCAGTGTGAGGGGAAGACCTGGGAGGGTCCCACAAGCCAGGTGAAAACCAGGTTTAAAAAATGTGGGAGTGGTTGGGCCGGCCAAGTGGCACGTTGGTTAAGAACTCGCTCAAGAGTGTGAGCTCTGAGCAACAGCGGTTCGATGCCCGGCCCGAGCTGAGCTGCCGCTGAGCTGCCAACAAGTGGCAGGATGGCTCAGCTAAAAAAAAAAAAAAAAGAATGTGGGAGCGGTGGTAAGCCATGTTACACGCTCCTAAAAGGTCAAGTAAAAAGAAGACTGAATTGACCCTGAACTCAGTAATGTGGAAGTCCCTGGTGAACTTGGGAAGAATTGTTTTGGTGGAGGGGTGACGATACAAAACTGACTGGAGTGAGTTCAAGACAATGGAAGGAAAGAACATCAAAACTGTAAGGATAAACTCTTTGAAGAGTATTGCTGGAAAGGGGAGACAAAGGCAGAGGGGAGTAGAGGTGGGTATGGGTCAAAGGAGTTGTTTTTAAAGACAGGATATCCTCTAATGTATTTGCATGCTGTGGTGAACGATCCATTGAGCGAGGAAGGCTGTTCACACAGGAGAAGGGCAACCGCAGAAAGAATTGGCCTCCCTCTCCCAACTTACATTACACAGCAGGTAGCAAATCCACCCAGTGCTCTGAGCCTAGCTTTTTACACTAAACAATATAACTTGGAAATTAATTGACTTGAGTCTACGCAGATCTGCCTCATACTTTTTAATAGCTACAGTGTTCCACTCTGTGAAAGTACCATAGGCTATGTTTAGCTTCCTGAGTCAGCATTTCAGAAGCTGCAAAACTAGTGGCCAGTGATACTTAAATTTTTTTTATTTAATGAGGAAAAATTTCAAACATATGCAAAAAGTAGGGAATAGGACAATGAACCTCCATATACCCATCATCTGGGTTCAACTATTAACCAGATATTGCCCCACCTGCGTAACCTATCCACCTCTTTTTCTGCTCAAGCATTTTAAAGCATATCCCAGATATCGTGTAGTCTGAATACGTCACTACACATCTCTCAAAATACAGACACTTTCTCATATAACCACAACGCCATTATTATACTAAGAATAACCTCTTGATTTCGTCTAACACTCATTTTATATTCAAAATCCAAATTGTCTCCAAAAAGGTTTTTAGAGTTGGCTTGTTTGATTCCCACTCCAAAAACAAGTGAAAGATTCTTCTTTGAATCTAGAACAGGCTCCTTCCTCCCCAACTTTTTATTTCATGCCACTGAAGAGACTATTTTAGTTGTTCTATTTCCTTCAGGGCACGGTATGGGCTTTTGATTGTATAACTATGTGTCTAAAAATATCTTTACGCTGTCTTTATATTTGATTGATACTTTGGTTGACCACCCACTTCTAGTTTGGAAATCAACTGCCCTCAGAATTTTGAAAGCACTGCTCCATTTTTGCATCTAATAATGCTATTGAATAGGCTGGCGTTTTTTCGAATTTCCCATCACATGTACACGATTTTATTTTATTTCTGGAAGCTTTAGAATCCTCTATTTCTGATCATCTGAAATTTCAGGATGAAGTGCCACAGTGTGGGCATTTTTCATTCACTGTGCCAGACAACTTTAAATGTGGACACCAGTGTCCTTCGTGATCCGTTTTTCTTGGATTATATCTTTTATCATGTTTCCCTCTTTATTTTCTCTATTCTATTCTTGGAACTCCTATTAGTAAGACTTTCCATGGATTACTCCTCTGTGTCTTATCTTCCTCTCTCATATTTACTGTTCTTCATCTTTGTCCCACTTTCTGGGAAATTTCTTATCTTTAACCCTTTTATTAATTTTTAAATTTTGGACAGTCATAGTTTTAATCTCCAGGAGCTCTTTCTTTTCGCTGATAGTTTTTTCTTGACATCCTGTCCTCTTTTATGAATGCTGTATCTTCTCATTATCTCACAAAGCAGTTAGTGTTAACAAAGTTTTATTCTACTCCTTTTTTTCGCTGCCTTTCTGATTTTTCATTTTTCTAATTGGAAGCTTTCCTCATTTGTCTAGAGATCCTTGGTTGGCTGCCTTTTAAAAAAATGTTTTTAAAGTTTTTATTAGGGTAATTTTGAAATGTACACAAAAGAAGAGGGTAAGGTATGAGCTCCCCATCAGCGGGCTTCAATGATTATCAGTACTTCACCAATCTTTTTACTCTATCCCCCTCCCCTCTATACACATCCCTCTCCAAATTGGGAGGTTTGGGTTTTATATCTGCTTTTTTTTTTTTTAAACAGTTCAGCACCAATCGGGGAAGCTGTGCACACGGCTGAGGCTTGCTTTCTGGAACACATCAACTGTGGGTGATTCACTGGGCAGCAAGTCTTTTCCTTAAATGAACCCCAGTGTCAGTATCAAGGTCTTTTTTCCAGGCTCATTCAGTTTCTTCAGAAAACCAACATCTAGTCTTTGGCCTGGGCAGATGGCAGCTGAACACAACTGTCACGAGCACCAGGAAGGGGGGAAGACTGTGTCTTTATTATAAAGTGTCAGCCTGTGACGCTGTCTCACGTGGCTCTGCACCGTCCCCCACACCTCCAGTTCCCAAGGTGCTCGAAGGCTGGGTGGGGGGAAGCACCTCTTCCCTCAGGATTCCCCTGCACATACTTTTGGTTTGGGCTTTCCCCACACTGCCAGGAAGGAAAGGACCCTACCAACTCCATCTTCTAGACATACTGCCTAGAGCTGAGGAACAAGAAATAAAGGATTAACTATAAGTTATAAAGATAGCCAAAAGAGAAATTAAAATGAATGCAGTAAATACATCCGAGGGAATAAGGAAGAAAAGAGGAAGGATTGAACCAAATCTTCATCACAGAAAAAAAAAAAAATCAACACACAATATATGGAGTTCATAAATGAAGAAACAATAATGTAAGCCTTTTACTTAGAGATATGAAAGCTATCACCAGGAGAACGGAAAGCTGAAACCATTAAAGTAACTGCCCCTGAGGAGCAGCCAGGGACTGACACAGGGGACCTCACTTTTCAGTATGAACCCGGGAAGTGCCACCGGAAGTGTTAACCCATGCGCATGTCGCTCTTCGAATACAATTTTTCCTGTTAACAAAAGTATATCAGGGCAAGGGGGGATTCTTTAATGTCTTCCCATTATTCTCAGGATAAAGGTTCCAAATCCTTTAACCAGCTAGTAAGTCTGTTTAAAAATATAACAGAAAAAGCTTTTCTGATAATTATGAATACATGCTCAAGTCGTACAGTCTCTAGCAGACCAATTCAGAGAGTCCATCTAGCTGACACATTTTATAAGCTGATGATTCAAGAAGACTGAGAAACTAGGTAGAAAAAGAATGTACGGTTAAAGGTTACTAGACACCTGACTGACAGTCAGCTGGCAGGATGGGTGACCGGTTTCCCAGAACAAGTTTTAACCCTATTAAAATTTATTAGAAAATTGCTTCAATGTTTTTTTGGTTTTTTTTTCAGGAATGCTAATTTCTTCCCAGAAAAAGGCTGTAAATTACATCATGAAAAAAGGTTTTGTCACAGACCTGGCTTGGGACAGTTTTTTCCTCCGCAAATATAATCTAGACTAGCACTGTCCAGTAGAACTTTCTTCGATGATGATGGAAATGTTCCATATCTTTGCTGTACAATACGGTTGCCACAAGCCAGCCACGCTGGCTGTTGAGCACTTGAAATGTGGCTAACGCCACTAGGCAGCTGAAATTTTAATTCTATTTACTTCTGATTAACTGAAGTTTAAATAGACACATGTGGCTACAGGCTGCTGCACTGGACAGGGCAGGTCTAGACTATTGTGGCCTCCAGCCTCTTCTTGCTCCAAGCTGTCCTTCTCTCTGCATTCCAGCCACTCTAGCCCGCTGCCATTATCCTAAAACATGCATGCTCGCTCCTGCCACAGTGCCTTTGCACTTGTGGTCTCCTCTTTCTAGAATGTCCTTCCCTGCCCTCCTACTCAACTTCTTCATCTGGTTAACCACTACTTTCCCTTCACTACCTAAAATTATGTTGTGCACTTATGTGCTCACTTGTTTATCATTGTTTTTTGTCTTCCCATCCCCCACCCCCCATTCCCACCCAACCAGCCAGAATACAAGCTCCATTTACGCAGGGATCCTGTCCACCTTGCCCGTCACTGAACTCCCATCAGCTAGACACAACACTGGCTGGCTCTCAGTAGGCAGTCTGCTAATACCTAATGAATAAATGAATGCCTCCTCACAACTTTAATTGTCATCTCTTTCGGGGACTCCCAATACCTATCAATAGGCCCAATCTTGCTCCTCCAATTTATACTAGTTTCACATTTCCAACAAGCCCCATGCGCATTTCGACCCAATAACTCCGCTGCCCACACACTAACTATTGTCATCTCCGCTCTGTTGCCAGATCCACCCTTGGGAAGTTTGGCTTTACTTGGTCACTCAACTCCAAACACAGAAACTTTCAAAGATATCCAAGAGCAAAATCAATTTTGAGGCAGGAGCGAAAACACTGTACATACTCCAAGTTTCCTAGGTCCTTCATAAACCAATATAAAAAGAAAGTCAATAGAAAGGTCTACGCAAAGACACAAAGTGAGAAAGTGAAACTTACCACAAGTTCAAAAATGTCCATGAAGACAGAATGTCCCTTAGGTGTTTTCTCATTCAGGCTGGCAGGGGACCAGATCCAATAGAAGTAAGTACCATCTGAAGAAAGGTGAACAGTGGTCACAGTGCTGCCAACAGGGAGGTGATTGGCTGGCATTGGCACCGTCTGGCACACCTGGACACAAAATGAAGGAAAACACACAGTTTGATTAATTCTATCAGTTCATCATTAATGCTATTAAGTCCCAGATGAGAATTCAATAGGCTTCCTAGTCAATAAAACTGATATTTATCTCTAAGAATAATACATGACAAAAATATAAAAGTTCACACAATCGGCCATGCAACAGATAAAAGGATTGAATTCAAATTACATTTTTAAAAACGTATTTACTAAACACTTTGAATCTGTTATGCATGTGTGTTTTAGCAAACATTTATTAAAAGCAAAGTTTCAGAGAAATAGTACTTTCTGAAATTTCCTTAGTAAATGAATTATGACTATTAATTATATTTAAAGGACAGGAACTATATCTTATCTATCTTTATATCCCCAGCACTTACTTCAGAGTCTAACAAAGTTATTTAATAAATATGGAAAGAAGCGGGGAACGGAGCAAATGGAAGGAAAAAGGGAAAGTGAACAGGGAGAAGGGGAGAGGAGAAGACCCTAACTTAGCCCATGAGGGGCTTAGCGAAATTCACCAAGTCCATCAGGGGGAAAAAGACAAACACTAATTCCCTATATTAGACATGAAGGCATGTGCTTCTAATACTAAACATCCTTTGGCTTCAGCATAATGAATAAGTTTTGCATCATTTCACACTAAATGTGTAGTTGCATACTAATTTTTACTGCCAGGGAAAAGCACTTAAAATGAGAAAAAAAGGGGAATCAAGAAAACTGCTGACTTGGGTTTTTTTTAAATCCAAGACTAGGAGCAGAACTGAAAATCTCAAAATAAAAATAATTCGAGAGGGTCATATGCCTTCAGGGAACAGTAAAAATGAACGATTTTCAGTTATTCCACCTCTTCGGGTGAGTCACTCGTTTTCCTAAGGTTGCTTTTGACCCCTGAACTCATTTCATGCGAACTTTCTTCCAGACTTGTTTTGTCTACCTCAAAAGTTAAAAAGTCACTTAGTTGCTGTAAGCACACTTTGAAACGTGCAGTGCCAGGAAATTTAGAAAGCTGACAGCTACTGATTAGCCTAAGCTACCCCCAAGTTGCGCTAATGCACATATCTAGGTAGAGACAACACTGCTTTCATAGACATCAAAGTTTTTGCCACAACACAGAGGAAACTGACATCACTTCAAATGTAAACCATGTTCCAAGATTTAACATCTGTTTAATTCTCAGGCTTATCTGTTTAATTCTCAGGCTTATAACTCTATTTCAAATAAATATAGGAGATTAATATAGGAGATATTTATTTGAAATAGAGTTAGAAGCCTGGGAATCTGTCTGCATTAGTGATAAGAAATGAAGTCAATTGGGCATCTATTTGTTAATTTGTTCATTTTACTCATCTAACAATTCCTGAACACCTACTATGTGCTTTGGCGATACAACAGTGAACAAGACTCAGCTCCTATTCTCCAGGAAAGACATAGTTGACTGACAGACAAAAAGAGATGTAACAACCCACTTAACTCCTGGATGGGATTACTGTTGGGGCACTCACTCCACAGATGGTCATTCTAACCATTCCGTTCAACTTTGGTTGAAAGACAGAAACTTGCAGCATAAACAGCTCAAACTCTTAGAGCTGGGAACATCCATTCAAGTTCTTGTGCTGACATTACTGTGTGGCCTTTGGCAAGTTACTTAACCTCTCTGAGCTACATTCCTTCATTCAACAATAAACACTGACTGACTCTTACAATGGGCCCAGCTTCAGTTGCCTTTTCTGTAAGATGAAACTACCACAGTTTCTCCTCACAGGGAGGAGAGGAAGTGTATGTAAATTGCTTAAACTAGAGCCTGGCACGGGGAGAGACGATGATCAACAGTAGTTGTTATTATATTATCTTCACCATCACCAATCAAATGCTAGATACTGTGCTACATTCTAGGGACATAAAGATGAAGAAGACAGGGTCCAGGCATGAAGGTGCACACAGCCTTGGGGAGGAGTTAGACACAAGAGCAGGTAATGTTAGTATAGTAGCAAGTGCATGACAGCACTAAAGATGAGCTCTTAATCCCTAACACACAATGATTTTATCTAACCTCATTTCAGAGCTCCCATTCCCACAGAAAGGCTGTTTAGAACAAACTGAATAGGGAAATGATGCCTTCCCAAAATAGATCTGGTTTTTTCAAAAAAGCTAGTATTTATACCATCTTCAACTCTCTAGAATTTTTTCTTTCTCATAAAAATGTTTGTTTTTGTCCTTAGAAATTCCTAGGGAGCACACATCATGTGAGAAAACTCTCAGACATTAGAGAAAAAAAACAGATTGCTCAAATGATGACAATCAAAAAGATCCACTCGGGCAGAAAACTTGTTATCAACGGTGTTAATATTAGTTGTGATGATGTCAGAACTTCCCTTACTGTCTCCAAAACACAGAGACAATGCCTTGGTTTTCTGTTTACCTGAAGGGTATTCTGGTCAATGACCTGGAAAAGGGAGTGAGGTTTATTATCAAAAGATACAGGCCGGTGGAGAAGACTGCCGCTGCCGAAAGCAGCCCATCCTGGTTCCAGCTCCTCGTTCCGGCAGTACACAAAACCCCTGTGGGAAAAGAAAGGCGCACAGGGTGAGGCCCCAGCTGTGTCTGAAAACCCACAATGAGCTACAACAGACATAAACAACATTTTCCACCTAATTTTTTTAAATGACTAAGTATGCAAACAATATGAAGGAGAGTGAATATATCACAATAACTTCGGGACAGATAAACTGGGGCAAATATTAATTTTCCCCAATACATTGGACAGGAGAAAAAGTTGGAGAAAAGGGCTAATGCAATATATATAAGGATCTCAACCTGTGGTTTCTTTTGGCAGCAATGCAAAAATCTTACATCCCAACTGAAAATCACTGCTAATCCAATGGCAAATGCAAGTACAAAAAGACAACTAGAAAAATGTCCATTTATCAACATGGAGAAGAAACTAATATTGTGGAAATGTTTTCAGAGGAATTTCTGGTTCAAACAATGATCCTAGGGCTACCAAACTCTAGAGTCAAAAAGCTGAAATTACCAAAAAGGGGGGTGGGTGACAATAAGAGAAAACTGTAATTATATGAACTCATTCAGGCTTATTTCGCTACTAGTCAGTCTATGGGAAGTCAGCATGCACCCCCAGGTGTCTTCACAGATATTTATGTAAGGAGGAAAATGTTCCAGCCAAATCATTCAGCAAATTCCACTCAACTTACCTTAGAGTACCATGTAATCCAGATCCCAATTTGCTTACTCCTCTTCCAACTGAGTTAGTAGTATACAGGTAAAGACCGTCTGCCGTGAGACAGCGTCCCAAGTCAGCATCTGAAATAGTTTTTTCACAGGTAAATTATATACATGATTTTTCTAATGAAATTATAAACGTGATTTTCCTAATGAAAAAGCCATTTAGGAGGTTGAGCGAAAGATCACCTCCCACTTCTAAAATAAGTGCTTCAATGTGACTTCCAGGGAAGATGGCTCGAACCCCCACAGCGAACATCCAAAATGCTTGTGGGATCAAGGACCAAGATCGGGGAAAGAGGTCAGCAAGTTACTAGCAGGAAAACCTGGTTAAACCTGCCAATTTTTTTTTTTAATAGCAAAACACTGAGTCAAACTTACACATTCCTAATTCTAATCTGAAATGACTAAGAATACAGTGTTCTCAGTAATGATTTTGTACTAAAAAAAAAAAAGACATGAGCTTTTAAGAGCTTTAGGTACTTATTAGTTGACCTTGGACCTCTTTGAACTTCAGTTTCTTCATCTGCAACATGAGGATAATATGTACCTTAAGAGTTACTGTGATGGTTACATGAGATAACTTAGGCAAACACCCACATCACACTCTGGTACAAAGCCAGGGCTCCATCAATGGCAAACGATGTTATGTTGACAGACTAATGTACATTACACTAAAATCTGCTTCTGTGTTTTTTTCCATCCAGAGATCCTAATTTTAATTTCTAGAGCAGCACAGCACAAAAGTACATCTCTTCTCCTTAAAAATAGCAATTACGGGGGCTGGCCGAGTGGCTCAGTTGGTTAAGAGCATGAGCTCTGAGCAACAGGATCGCCGGTTCAATTCCCACATGGGCCAGTGAGCTGTGCCTGAGCTGAGCTGCCGCTGAGCTGTCAACAGGTGGCAGGATGGCTCAGCTGGTGAGAGTACATATTCCTAACAACAAGGTTGCTGGTTCAACTCCCGCATGGGATGGTGGGCTATACCCACCCGCAACTAAGATTGAACACGACACCTGAGCTGAGCGGCCATGAGCTGCCAACGGGCAGCCAGATGGCAACTGGGCTTGGAGCTGAGCTAGCTGCACCCTCCACAACTAAGATTGAAGGACAACAACTTGGCTGTTCCCTTTCTCCAATTCCCCAATAAAATCTTTAAAAAAAAAAATTATGTTTCTCCTTAGCTATATCTTCCCCAAGCCAAAATAAACAGTATTTCTCTATACAATAGCTTGTAAATAAAACTTTCAGTGTTTATTTTCATAATCATCCCACTCACTATGTTTAACTGCAGTTTGTCTACTACTTGTCATATTAGTGGAAATCTGGTGTCACAGTACTCAAATTAGTACCAAGTATGCTGCTATCTTAAAAATTCAGTATACTAATCTGAGACAACTGTAGTTTGTACCTATTGGTTCCCCAAAACACAATCAGTTTAAGTGGGTAATCATTTTTTTTTAACATTTTTATTGGGGAATTGGGGGAGGGGAACAGCGCTGGGGAATTGGGGAAGGGGAACAGACAAGTTGCTGCCCTTTTGTTCTTCAGTCTAGTAGTGGAGGACGTTGCTTCACTGGCCCATGTTGGTATTATCATTGTGCTCTTCTCAGGTGAGGCAAATCGGTCGCCGGCCTCTGGACGGCCGCTCGCGGTGGCTCTTGGCAGCTCACGCTGGCTGCCAGCCACTCACTCTGGCTGCTAGCCACTCACGGCAGCCCACTGCAGCCTACATCGTCGCCGGCGATTCAAGGCAGCCCAGCTCCAGGTTGAACTGTTGTTCACCATCTTAGCTGTAGAGGGCACAGTGTCACTGGCCCTCATGTGGGATCCGAACCGGGGCCCTGCTGCTCAGAGTTGGTGTCCCAAGCCAGCTCTTAACCAACGCGCCACTCGGCCGGCCCCTGGGTAATCTTTTTTTTTTTTTTTTTAGCTGAGCCATCCTGCTACCTGTTGGCAGCTCAGCAGCTGCTCAGCTCAGGCTGGACTCGAACCGCTGTTGCTCAGA